AGTGAGGGGGTTGACGGTGTTTTGCCTAACGCCGTCTGCTGTTTTAAAGAACGATATCGCAGTGGATTTTTGTTAAAAGAAGTCACAGAATACTTCGTATGATTGAATGCAATAACTCTCTTTCATGCCTTCTGAATCGTTGTAATTTTAGAATGGGCGCATGTCATCTGTGCTTTGTACATACCGGAAGTACGCTTTGGGGACGTGCACAGTATGGATCCGGTGATCCTCAGTGATGTGCCACTCGAACGGTTCGCATTTTCGGCTGTTGTTGGTAAACTAGCTCCATTTTTACCTCTCTTTCCCGGTGTCAGTGCACATTTAGTGCGAACCGAATTGAGACAGCGGTGAATCTAGGAACTCGGTAACGTGCTGTAAAAACGCTGTTATGGGAATGGCTTATGAATGGGACATGCTGTCGAGGATTTCGGGTATTTTGCTGCCGTGTGACCTGACTGAATGTGGCTCCACTTTCACTTATCTAGGAAACGATAAATAAATGCAAATCCCTGTGCTCAGCAGACTGTGTTGGAATTGCTTGGTTATGGGTACACTAAGCTTTTTGTGGCCTGTTTTTGTTGCGGAGCTATGCTTTTGATTAATGATAAAAAGGGAAATAAAGAGCCTTCTTCTGACCACATGGTGTCTGCGAAGCTGTAGGGCAACACAAACATAGTTAAAATTGGCGCAATATTCGTCAAAATTGAGGTAGAAAATTACAAAAAAAAATTCCAAACAGGGCCTTCCTCCGAAAAGCAGTAGGGATGATGCCAGTTTCGAAGAGACAATTCATATCGAGTAGTGCAGTAGGTACCAACTGAAGTGTGTGCTTCCTAGGATAGCTGCGCTTGGAGAGAAGGAGCATCCCAGTGATGTCACTGATTTGATATACCTACACTTATTGTCCGGGTTGTTTTGTATTTCTGATGTGTATTTCTTACGTAATTATCGGCTTCTAAACGAGCACCGTCTGCACGACTGTCTTCAGAAAGATTGTGCAAGCACAGCTTTTGAGAGTACAGTGGAGCGAACGACGAGGTTGGGAGGAGGGGG